TATGCAAAGGCGGGGGTCATATTGGTGTTACTTTTACAAAGCAATCTTATCCACCAGAGGGGCATTTTAAAATCTGCATTAGCTTACACAGGAAAGGCTAAATAAAACTGCAAATACCTGAATTGCATGAGATGTAGAAACTAATACAACTAATAAATAATGTAAGATTCAACACAGTACAGAACATAATTTAAATGAGTGCATTATTTCTGTATAAGAGACTTTGGATCAGAAGTGATTTCTACTACTCATTTAGGATTTCTCTGAACTAGCAAATAAAATATTTGTTATAAAAAGAAAAGAAAGAGAATGTGGGACTAATTTTCTATCAGGTTTTTGTCTCTTAAACATTTCATCAGGATTCAGTAGAGAAATAGGCTTACACTTCTCTATGAAAACATGCATTCACAGGGTGTAAGTATTTGCAGAAGACAAATGGATCTTACTGACACTGAAAGTTTCTACATATGTAAAGCAGGAATTAATGAATTTTGAACAGCTTCACAGAAGCTGATGTTTGTAAAGAAAAGAAAGAAAAGGAGCAACAGAGAAAAATGCTGTTACTCTAGAAAACAGATGAGAATTTTATTTGTGTATAAGCTCTTAAGGGAAGAATGAACACTATTATTTCCTTACATTTTTTTCTCCTCAACAATAAAGATTACATGAGGTTACACTTCACTTAAAATAGGAGAGAAAGGCAATTTAGCACTGGCCATACAATGTAAGGTAATTCCCATGTGATTCTCCTCTATTTCTGAACTGTTGGAAAGGTGGCTGATCTCAAGCTCAGAAGCAGAAAAAGATGAAAGTAGAAACTCAGAAGCTTATGGATGTAACATTGCTGCAGTGAAAATAAAAATACACATCTGCACATGACAGTCTCAGTACCACTGAATAGTTGGGCCACATCTGCTGTTGGGAGGGGGCTGGCAATGAGGTGGAGCAGAAATGAAGAGAGCCTGTGCAACCTATAAGTGTATTCAGTTTGCTTCTGATGAGCCACAGCAGCCAGGGTGAAGGATTTCTACTGAAACAGCAGTTTGTGAAGCTTCTCTGCAGTATCAGATGTGGTTTCACTCTGAGAAAAAAAATCCTGCAATATTTAACCTATTTTCGTCACTAATCACAAACGAGTCTATTCTTGAGTTCATGATACCAGATTGCTGATGGTCTTATGGAGTGTGCTTCAGGGAAAAGGAATCTTATGGAGCAAAAGTAACAAATCCTATTAATTTATTGACTGTGTTATGGTGTTAGTGAAGAGCTGCTCACAGCAGAGTCATCTCAAACTCACCTACTGCCTGTTTCAATTAGGTGGGTGTCAACTTTTTATTTTATTTTGAATATGTCCCTGGAACCACAAAAACAGCTACCTTTCTTTTTCCTTGCCTCTAAGTACATTGAAAAATAAACTCAAACATGGCAGCCTTTCATGTCCTTTTTTGCATGAAAGTGCTGAGAATTCTTTGGGTTTATTTCCAATATGTTGGGGTTAGAAACTGATGGAAATTTTTGTTACGTGTAGAGTTTGTATTTTTGTGTAGAACTGATTTTCAAATGTAAGCTTCTCCTATAGCATGGCTATTCTCAATTTTGATGACCTTTGGCTTATGTGGCATTATTGAAGGCTATAAGAATCACAGTGAGGGAAAGGTTCTGCAGGAGGGAAGGTAAATAGTAGAGGAAAATGTCTCCAAGAAAACTGTTCAGGTTAATAGCTGTAGTTTGTCTGTGGAGCTCTGTGTCACCTCTAGTAAAAGTAGACCTCATTTCAGAGCTCATTTGTTCTATTTAACACAGCCTGTTATGTTAGTGTAATAAGAGTATGGTAATAAACTGAATTTTATTTCCTGGATGCACTTACTTGACATAGATAAGGATTGCAAGAGGCTAATAGTTATGTTTCAGAGCTGAGGTCAAATGCTATCTAGTTCCAGTGTCTTCTCAGTGCTATGTTGTAGGCTGTTTTGCAAATCCACCAAGAATAACCAGCATCACAATTCTGAGCCCAGGTGATAACACATGCACTCAGATACTGAGCAGCATATCTCATGGCCTCTCCTTGTTACCCAGCTGTTTGCCTGCTTTGCTGATGAGGTGCATCCCTCCCAACCCACTGAGTTTCTTGGACTACAAACCCTTCATTTTTTATTTGTAGAGCTGTATTGCTGTAATGTGGCTTCTATGTGTGTATCACAACTGCTGGGAGCAGAGTGCTTCATACTTTGTGCTTATGCAGCCACTCATCTGTCCTTGGACTGACTGTTGTGAGTGGCCAATGCACACAACCGCAGGTGTAGTGTTATGCTGCATAATTAGTTTGAAACGTGACATCATCTTCCAACTTTTTCCTATTTGAGCTGCTGTATTTTATGAGTGCTTTAACTGATGAGATTTTTTTTTGTAATTCTGATGATGACCTATGAACTATTAGTCCCAAACTAGAACTGCTATTTGCACTGAATTTTCTGTTAATTGTGCCTATTATGGGACTGCTATAAGACAAAGTTATTGTTTTTGTTCATCTAAAGGTGAATACCACAAATAAGTAATACAGAATAGTGTAATAGGCTTATGGTACAGAAGTGTTGTATTGTTTTTCTTATGATTGGAAAACCTGGTAATGGCATTGAGCCAATGTCAAAGCTGAAACACTTCCTTTGCTTTGCAGAACAGTCTCTTCTGTATTCAGTGCTGGCATACTTCTCTTTGGAGTGCTGGGCTGTGGGCAGAGGTTTGTATATTCACTCTGCCACCTGCCCCGAGGGGCTGCTGTTCACAGGCAGATAGGCTGATTTCCTCTCTCCCCCCTGCTGCTACTGTATTTTCTCATCTATTTACATTTTCTACTGTACATTTGCAGCCAGCCTCACAACACAGTGAGTGAATCTGGCATCAGCAGAGTACAGGAAGGAACTGTATTAGATTCAACTTTGGTTAATGTTGCACTGGGTTTTGAGCAGTGTTGGGTAGGTGAGGCATTTTATTTTAGTGAGAGATGACTTGACACCAGCATCGTAGCAGGTGCAGTATGAAAATCCAGGAGTGAAAGAGTTAATTCATATTCTGTTCAGAGAGATAGCTGTGAAAGAGCATATGCTGAATGTGTATTCCAATTTCATTTTTTTGTTCTTATTTACAGTGACAAATAATATATTTCCCTTTAGCTTTGAGTGCTTCATAAACCTGGACCTGATGATGAATATGCAGTTTACACTTCAAAGGCACTGGAATCAGTGCAAGAAAGCAGAGCTTGGCATGGTTCACAGCACACTGTGACCTCCACTGTGATTATTAATCAGTCAGTCTTTCAGGGGCACATCCACCTACCTAGATATAATGCTTGCTTATTCCTCTCTCTTTTTCCCTGATAAATGTGATATCTGAACCTCTGGGAAACACACAGTAGATGTGTGACTTCTGTCAAAGAATGCCGGGTTCTGTTTGCTCTGAATTCAGGTTTAAAAGGTTTTGGTACACTCCTCAGTAGATTCTTAATTTGAGTTGTAGTGTTTTGTTACACACAGCCTGGTGTGGAAACTTATCGGTGCTTAACAAGATCTCATCAGTCTCCTGGAGAGCAAGATTGGTGGTTTTGGGGGAAGTTGTCTAGTTACAAGTCTAGAAATCATGATTGGAGTTGTGGGGTGTAGGGAGGTTGCCTTAATGGCAATTTGTATCTGTGTTGTGTGAGAAAGCAATTTGCTCAGAGGAAAGGAGTTGCTTCGAAGGAATGGAAAGAGATTTGGGACTTTGAATAGGATAGTGGTTAGTTCTGTATTAGAGCAGTCTGCCTTTCACAGAGTTGTGGTTGCCCAAGGTAGCGTTGTACATGAACAGAGCAAACGAGATGCTCTTAAATTCCTTTGGGCTTCTTATGAACATAATAGGAGACAAAAGTACAACCATACTGAAGCAATGCAGTTTTTTTTTCTGCTCAGAAAGGCACCCTAGTTTCAAGCATTACAAAACAGCAATAATTTTGTTCAAGTGATCAAATTTGCAGCTTTTCTAGTAGAAGTGATTTGAAATAGGCATCATCGTCCTATTGACCTATGAGCAGAAACATGACCATTGTGCCAAGCTGTTTCTTAGCCAGCTGCCTAGTGCTTTTCTATAGAAAATGAAAAGTGAGAGAAGATTTCATTATTATACCTCTTACCCCTCTCTGCACAACTGTAATCCTTAAGCATTAGAGACTATGTTCCTGAACTTGTCTTTTTGGCAAGTGGAGTGACATTTTGTCTTTGAAGGAGGCTACTGAGAAATAAGTAATGTGTTACCTTGCTCTTGAACCACTGCAGTGGCTTCCTGTCACAGTGAAAACATGACTGAGCAAGATGAGGATTGCTGTGTGCCACTTCCCTTGGTGCAATAAATCAAATCTCATTACCCAAAAATAGAGAGGAGAGACTAGTGAATCTGTCCTGCTCAAGTCCATGTTTCCAAACCATTTGTGTCTACCTAACAGGATTTCTCTGTGGGAGGGTTGGTATGTGTGCTGGAGGTCTATTCAAATCTTTTATCACCTTATGACTCATGGGCACAATCCAAAAAGAGTTGCAATCCCAAAATCTAAAAACTCCACTACATGGTCAAAGAGAACCACGTTGACCATGTCTGTTCCCAAACACACTAGTGGAACTGCTCTGTTCGTCAAAACCTGCTACATAGCTGCATGGATTCATCCTTCTTGCCAGCTTTGAAGTCTGCTGTGGTTATAAACAGTGCTTGTGCCTTGAGAGAAACGTGATGAGTGGAGGTGCTGAAGTCTCCTGGTATTGAGCAGGGTGGAGGAACAATGGCAGACCAGTGAGAGAGGTTATAATTGATGCTTTATGTGATCTAACTCATTTAGAACTAAACAGAATTTAAGACTTAAGGGTTGTCAGTCAGACACTTAGAAAAACTTATTGAAAACTCTTTAAATTAAGACAGTTGGTTTTTCTAAGAGATCTTAAGATAAATACTAATTTTTGTGTATTTTTGTTTTTAGGATGAATAAGAGATACTTACAGAAAGCAACAAAAGGAAAACTGCTAATAATAATATTTGTTATAACACTGTGGGGGAAATTAGCATCTGGGGCAAATCATCACAAAGGTAAGAAATTCTGTTTTGTTCTATTATACTGTCATGTCTGTGACCTCTGTCAATAAGTTTAGAAGTGTCCAGTCTATGCAACCTGTTTTCCTTAGGAGCATGTTTGTCTCTTGATTTTGATCCACTAATTTTTACCAAAGGACGAGAGTTTTCAATGGATAGAGTTTTATTAATTTATTGAGAATTTAAGTATTTCAGTCCCATTTTCATCATTTGCTGATTTTAATTCTTTTTTTAATGATGGTACAGTTGAAAAGATGGTAAAAAAGGTGGTAAAGTAAAAAAATCAATTAATAAATACTGCTTTTCTCATAACAATAGATAATAAGCACATGTGTGTGCTACAAATTAATTTCTGGGATGAACCTTAGAAAGAAGCAATTTTTAGTAACATGTATGCTGGTATTGTGTGCAGTTATGTGTCAAGACTTACTTCATAGATAATGTGGGATGAATGTTATTATTCCATCACCCGAAAAAGGCCATTGCCTTGCAGTATTGTCTGTCTTCTATGCTTCATTCCTAACACTGGACCAGGAACTTTAGAAGCTTGTAACAATGTGAGATTTATTTCCTCTTGGTCGTTCCAGTCCTTAAATTGTATACACACCAGCAGAATTTGTGATGGTTTATTGAAGCTTGTAAAAAGGTCTCTTTTTGTGTGTGTGTTTCTGTAAACACTTAATGCAAGGAACAAGCTCTCTGTACTGATATCTTCTTATAGGCTAATATAGCTTGAAATGTGATCTGCATTATAATAGGATTTTGAAGTCCACTTCTCATTTTCATATTGTGTCTATTGTCTGCTTACCTGCTTATTCAAGATGAGAATAAACTCTAAAAATTTGGTTAAAGTAAGGATGGGACATGAACATTACCGAGAGCCTAATGAGTTAAATACTGGGAAAGGATTCTAATAATACCAGTCAGTTCATCTCCCTGTGTTCATGTACATTTTGTAATGTTCCGTCTGATGATAGGATTTCACGGGCAAGTATTTTATGTATCTAGCTGCTAGATATTTGTCTGCTGTGTGAAGATATATTTCTTCAAAATGCCTCACTGATTAAGGACTTCAGGATGCAGAGACACTTTCTGCAAAGTCTTTTTTGAGTTGCAATTTGGCTGCAGACAAAACAGATTCTGATGTGGTCCTGCAGGCCACTGAAGATGGGCATCGTGCCAGACAAGATCTGTCCTGACACCCCTTGCTCAGCCTTTGTTCCCCTTCCAAACCAGAATATGGATTTGTGCTGTGGCTTGCCAGTTTAGTCATCTATTAGAAAAGAACCAAGATATCCTAGCCTGGATTCAGAATTATTTTGTCTTTATGTTTCTTTAAAAATTGAAAAGCCCATCTCCAGATCATTTTGATTCCATCTACAAAAGCTGGTCAAGCTGTGTTTGCCTCAATCCAATTCAAACTTTACCAAAGTGTGCTTGCTACTGTTTTTGAAAAAATTGATGAGGAAAAATCTGTCACCAAATATTTAATGGAAACAAATTTTAAACCCAAGGAGTATTTGGGGAACTAGTTCTTCATAAATGAGAATCAAATCATCTCCCACGAACTTTAGCTTTTCAGATATATTCATGCAAGGAAACCCCATCAGAGCTATGCCATTAACTATCTGGACAGTACCTGGTGTTTGAGCCCCAGCCTTGGAGCAAAAATAACTTGAGGAATATTGAATTTGATGTTTTTAGCTAAAAAAAATATGCATGTGAGCCCTCTGCAAAATCAGGTTATTAGCCATAAGAACTTCTTTACATTCCTGCAAGTTAACAGAAAGCTTTGGTTCTTTTTCTTGAAGTTGAAACTTTTCACCTCTTATCAAAATAAATGAAGTCTTACAGGGAACAGTAATAAGATGAAGCATGACTTGAGTGTTTAATTTAGAAAAGCAACTATTGTACATGTTCAGCTTCTTTTAGAAAGAAAAATATTCAGAAGGATTTTGACTTCTGGATTTAGTAGATCTGCAAATCAGTTGCACCCACTGCATATGGGGGATTATTTTAAAAAGCAGAAATCAGAGTTATGCAGCTCAACTACCATTGATTTCCAAAGAAACTGGGAGTTTAACTTCCCATTATGTCAAAGAAAATCTTCCCCCTACCCAAATAGGAGAAATGGAGCTAAGGTGCAGTCAAGGAAAACCTGACAGTGTTCACCCTAGCATGGAGTTTCCAAATACTGAGAAAAATGTGAGTTTCTTCAATGATAATTATCCCTAGCATCATTAATCTTAATTTATTGAAGTCCTTACTAACATATTGACATGAAAACCCTTAATGGCTTTGAAGGAGCCCTTGCAATTTCAAAGATCAATAATCTACATTTTAAAAAATCTTTACTTTCCTATTGACTTAGTCATATTATGCATCAGTTGCACCAACTCTTAAACCCATTTCTTTTTCTGAAGGCTATTGTAAAAGAAAAGAAAAAGATAAAGCAGGAAAGGTCATCAATGTGTGAAAAATTGTTTAATGAGCATTCTGGTCTCCAGGCAGACTTCAGCAGGGATATAAACAGCTGACTCTGACAGGCCGTCTCTAGGCTTGTTGCGCTTATTTCAGGGATATGGCACAATTGAGAAATCCTAAGTCATGAGCAAGAAAAACAGGGGCTGAGGTAGGGCAAGGGGAACGAGGCCCTGAGATCCAGTTGAGCAACCACCAGAGTTACAAACTGGGATTTCAGATTACAGCTTTTCAGTGTCAGGTGCATGGGTGCTAAATCCATCCTTCTTTCTCTTGAGAAGACTGGTTTGAAGATGTCTATTGCCTTTATCTTTGCTGATTGTTAAAGTTACAGCAGTCTGGGCAGGACGTTCAAGAGCTAAAAGAAATAAACACTCAAAGTGTTTAAAACAAAACACAAAGCTCACATTTTTTGACACACACAGGATTATGAGTTCTCCTGCATAGTTTCTGCATGTGCACATACTTCATTCAACATACTGCATTCGATTTATCGGGTCTTCTGGAAAGAAACATGAACTCCGCTTTTTCTTTTTTATTTTGCTGGGGACCCTGATACTATGGTAATGTGTGCCTTACCCAAGCACATGCACCTGCGAATCAGCTTGCCGTACCAGATCCATTTGTGCTTCAGTAGCTATGTATGAGAAGACAAGTAAAGAGTGGCATAACAGTCTCCAAAAGGATATTATCAAGGTTATGAGTCTAAAAACTGATATACCTTGAGGGTCGCTGAAAGAAATCCATAGGGGTATTTTATTATAAGATTGATCCTGGTCTTCCTACTCATTGCTAGCCCTTGGAAAACAAATAAACCTGTGCAAACTTATAGTGTTCACTGACAGGTATGGCAGGCAGGCATCAGTACAGCACCATTGCCTATTTGGTATTTCTGTTCTAGGGACCATGAATTGATTTGGTGAACATTGTATCACATCCTGTGTTTAAGGTTTCAAGTGTTGAACTGGTCCTTTTGAGAAAGAAGTATACTGATAGCCTCTTACAAGCACTCCTTTGTAGACAAGAGGCTACTGTGAGACACAGTTTCTATCCTAAAACTAAAGACTCTTTCAAAATTCAGATTTCTTTGACCTTTAAGTTTTTTTACATTGATAAAGCAATAACATAATATAAATAGAGGATGCATTTGAATCTGAGCATAGTTTAATATCCCTCAAAATACAAAACAATAAACTTTTAATTAAATTTTAAATCATTGGAGAAAATAAAAAGCTACTTAAAAATATGGCTAATCGTGAATGCTTGCTTGCCAGAAGGAATTTGTTATGGAACCAGAAAACACTCCAGGTAGATAAATAAAGTAATTGAATATTTTTGGACTTGCTAGATAAAAAGGCATGATAATTTATTTTCATTTAAAAAATTTCACTCAGAAGTGGAACTTATTCATCTGATGCCTATCATACAGTTAAACTAAACTCTTTATTGTTTGTGATGCAGAATTGCTGCTCCTGCTTGTCTGTGAATTTGCACTAAATTAGAAGTCTGAGGGAATGCCTGGCTATTCACAAGGAGAAAATAAATCTTGGTTTCTCCTTGCAGAGGAGTAGCTGTTCTGAAACCCAGCTGAATGAAGGAGCCACTGAGCCTCTAAAACTCCTAGTTAGATCACCCTTGCTGGATGAGTCTGCCTTTCTCTGCTGTGTTGCCAGGGCAGAAGAACTGCTGGCACCACTGTTGTGATGTAGGATATTGTCTGTGCCACATGCGTGCCTGGGGTTTGGGAATGGGCATGACTATGAGAAGCAAGAAACACAGGAGTAGTGGTAGCATGCTTTCAAGTGATGCTGATGTGTTTTTTGACGTGGGTGGACTTTCATTAGCAGTCATCCCCTTCCTTGGTCAGCAGGTTTCTTTCCTGTTGTTTAGTGAAAAGAATATGAATAAAATGTGCAGGACAGTCCTGGAAAATCTAAGGAACTGGCTGAAAATTTTAAGTCTTTGTGGAACTGAGTAAGAAATGCAGCTTAATAATTGTGCCCAGGTATTTTACCATCTTTGGATAAGTCATCATTTCTGTTTGCTTTACAAGAGCTTATGTCTAGATTTGTCATGTTTTCTATTAGGAAAATTAACCAAAAGGTGCCAGGCCCTCAACAGGACTCCATGGAGTCTAACACAAGTCCCACATGTGTGTCTCTTTGACAATGTAAACTTTTTTTACGGGATGAAATCTCATTGTAATGAATGATCTTAATCAAACGGGTTACTGTAGGTCAGTATGGGCACTACTACGCCTGGTTCTGGAGAGGGAGTGGAAGGACTCGTAACTCTTGCAGACAGATGGGGTGGTACAAGTTCATTCTTTCAGCTTCTAGCATTCGGCAGGGCAATGTTAGCAAGTGCAGTAATGCTAACGCTGCGCTGAATCAGCATGTGACAGGCTCCTGGCTCTGCCTGACCCTAGGGCTGTGGAATTGATTTGTTCTGAGGAGAGATAATATAGCACTTTGTTAAAAGCTATGGCGATGGCCTCTGTGCATTGCCTCAATGCC